GATTCCATGATAGTAATCCTGATTACATAAGGAGGTTGGAATTATATTTTCCCAGCCCTCGGCTTGTCTTTCTAAAGAATGTACTACATTTTTTTTAAAAATCAGCTTTATTGATACATAAATTACCAAAAATAAAACTCACTAGTTTAGAGTGTACAGTTTGGTAAGTTTTTTTATTGCATTTTAGGTTTTGGGGTACATGTGAAGAACATGCAAGATTGTCGCACAGGTGCACACATGGCAGTGTGATTTGCTGCCTTCCTCCCCATCACCTGTATCTGGCATTTCTCCCCATACTCCCCAACCCCAGATGTCCCTCCCCTATTTTCCCCCGACAGACACCAGTGTGTGATGCTCTCCTCCCTGTGTCCATGTGTCCTCATTGTTCAACACCCACCTATGAGTGAGAACATGCAGTGTTTGATTTTCTGTTCTTGTGTCAGTTTGCTGAGAATGATGGTTTCCAGTTTCATCCATGTCCCTGCAAAGGACATTAACTCATCATTTTTGATGGCTGCATAATATTCCATGGTGTGTATGTGCCATATTTTCCCTGTCCAGTCTATGATCAATGGGCATTTGGGTTGGTTCCAGGTCCTTGCTACTGTAAACAGTGCTGCAATGAACATTCGTGTGCATGTGTCCTTATAGTAGAACGATTTATAAACCTTTGGATACATACCCAGTAATGGGATTGCTGGGCCAAATGCAATTTCTATTTCTAGGTCCTTGAGGAATCCCATGCTGTCTTCCACAATGGTTGAACTAATTTACACTCTCAGCAACAGTGTAAAAGTGTTCCTATTTCTCCACATGCTCTCCAGCATCTGTTGTCTCCAGATTTTTTTTTTGTTTGTTTGTTTTTTTTAATTTTTTATTGGATTATAGGTTTTGGGGTACATGAGCAGAGCATGCAAGACAGTTGCATAGGTACACACATGGCAGTGTGCTTTGCTTTTCTTCTCCCCTTCACCCACATTTGGCATTTCTCCAGATTTTTTAATGATCGCCATTCTAACTGGTGCGAGATGGTATCTCAGTGTAGTTTTGATTTGCATTTATCTAATGACCAGTGATGATGAGCATTTTTTCATATGTTTGGGCCTCATGTATGTCTTCTTTTGTAAAGTGTCTGTTCATATCCTTCGCCCACTTTTGAATGGGATTGCTTTTTCCTTGTAAATCTGTTTTAGTTCTTTGTAGTTTCTGGATGTCAGCCCTTTGTCAGATGGGGAGATTGTCAAAATTTTTTCCCATTCTGTTGGTTGCCGATTCACTCTAATGACTGTTTCTTTTGCTGTGCAGAAACTGTGGAGTTTGATTAGGTCTTATTTGTCCATTTTGGCTTTTGTTGCCAATGCTTTTGGTGTTTTGGTCATGAAGTCCTTGCCTACACCTATGTCCTGAATAGTTTTGCCTAGGTTTTCTTATAGGGTTTTAATGGTGTTAGGCCTTATGTTTAAGTCTTTAATCCATCTGGAATTAATTTAATGTAAGGTGTCAGGAAGGGGTCCAGTTTCTGCTTCCTGCAGAAGGCTAGCCAGTTTTCCCAACACCATTTACTAAACAGGGACTCCTTTCCCCATTACTTGTTTTTGTCAGGTTTGTCAAAGATCGGATGGTTGTAGATGTGTGGTGTTGCCTCTGAGGCTTCTGTTCTGTTCCATTGTTCTATATCTCTGTTTTGGTACCAGTACCATGCTGTTTTGATTACTGTTGCCTTGTATTATAGTTTGAAGTCTGGTAGTGTGATGCCTCCTACTTTGTTCTTTTTGCTTAGAATTGACTTGGCTATATGGGCTCTCTTTTGGTTCCATATCAAGTTTAAGGTGGTTTTTCCAGTTCTGTGAAGAAGGTCATTGGTAGTTTGATGGGGATATCGTTGAACCTGTAAATTACTTTGGGCAGTATGGCCATTTTCACGATATTGATTCTTCCTAACCATGAACAGGGAATGTTTCCCCATTTGTTTGTGTCCTCTCTTATTTCGATGAGCAGTGGTTTGTAGTTCTCCTTGAAGAGGTCCTTTACATTCCTTGTTAGTTGTATTCCTAGATATTTTATTCTCTTTGCAGCAATTGTTAATGGCAGTTCGTTCTTGAGTTGGCTCTCTTTAAGTCTGTTATTGTTGCATAGGAATGCTTGTGATTTTTGCACATCGATTTTGTATCCTGAGTATTTGCTGAAGTTGCTTATCAGTTTCAGGAGATTTGGGGCTGAGACAATGGAGTCTCTAGATATACAATCATGTGGTCTGCAAATAGAGACAATTTGGCTTCCTCCTTTCCTATTTGAATACCCTTTATTTCTTTTTCTTGCCTGATTGCTCTGGCTAGAACTGCCAGTACTATATTGAATAGGAGTGGTGAAAGAGGGCATCCTTGTCTAGTGCCAGATTTCAAAGGGAATGCTTCTAGTTTTTGCCCATTCAATATGATATTGGCTGTGGCTTTGTCATAAACAGCTTTTATTATTTTGAGATACGTTCCATCAATACCTAGTTTATTGAGGGTTTTTAGCATAAAGTGCTATTGAATTTTGTCAAAGGCCTTCTCTGCATCAATTGAGATAATTATGTGGTTTTCGTCTTTGGTTCTGTTTATGTGGTGAATTACGTTTATAGACTTGCATATGTTGAACTGGCCTTGCATCCCTGGGATAAAGCCTACTTCATCATGGTGCATAAGCTTTTTGATGTGCTGTTGCAATTGGTTTGTCAGTATTTTATTGAAGATTTTTGCATCTGTATTCATCATGAATATTGATGGGCCTGAAGTTTTCTTTTCCTGCAGAGTCTCTGTCAGGTCTTGGTATCAGGATGATGTTGGTCTCATAAAACGATTTGGGAAGGATTCTCTCTTTTTGAATTGTTTGGAATAGTTTCAGAAGGAATGGTACCAGCTCCTCTTTGTGTGTCTGGCAGAATTTAGCTGTGAACCCATCTGGACCTGGGCTTTTTTGGGGTGGTAGGCTCTTAATTGCTGCCTCAACTTCAGACCTTGTTATTAGTCTATTCGAGGTTTTGACTTCTTCCTGGTTTAGGCTTGGGAGGCTGCAAGTGTCTAGGAATTTATCCATTTCTTCCAAGTTTACTAGTTATGTGCATAGAGTTGTTTGTAATAATCTCTGATAATAGTTTGTATTTCTGTGGAATCTGTGGTGATATCCCCTTTATTGGTTTTTATTGCATCTATTTGATTATTCTCTTTTCTTTTTTATTAATCTGGCTAGTGGTCTGTCTATTTTGTTGATCTTTTCGAAAAACCAGCTCCTGGATTTGTTGATTTTTTGAGGGGTTCTTTGTGTCTCTATCTCCTTCAGTTCTGCTCTGATCTTAGTTATTTCTTGTCTTCTGCTAGGTTTTGAGTTTTTTTGATCTTGCTCCTCTAGCTTTTTCAATTTTGAAGATAGGGTGTCGATTTTAGATCTTTCCTTGCTTCTCGTGTGGACATTTATTGTTATATATTTTCCTCTAGACACTGCTTTAAATGTGTCCCAGAGATTCTGGTACGTTGTGTCTTCGTTCTCCTTGGTTTCGAAGAACATCTTTATTTCTGCCTTCATTTCACTGTTTATCCAGTCAACATTCAAGAGCCAGTTGTTCAGTTTCCATGAAGCTGTGCGGTTGGTTCTGAGTTCGTTTCTGAATTCTGAGTTCTTTTTTTTTTTTTTTTTGAGATGGAGTTTCGCTCTTGTTACCCAGGCCGGAGTGCAATGGCACGATCTCGGCTCACCGCAACCTTCGCCTCCTGGGGTCAGGCAATTCTCCTGCGTCAGCCTCCCGAGTAGCTGGGATTACAGGCAAGCGCCACCATGCCCAGCTAATTTTTTGTAATTTTAGTAGAGATGGGGTTTCACCATGTTGACCAGGATGGTCTCGTTCTCTTGACCTCGTGATCCACCCACTTTGGCCTCCCAAAGTGCTGGGATTACAGGCTGAATTCTGAGTTCTAACTTGATTGCAGTGTGGTCTGAGAGACTGTTTCTTATAATTTCCATTCTTTTGCATTTGCTGAGGAGTGATTTACTTCCAATTATGTGGTCAATTTTAGAGTAGGTGTGATGTGGTGCTGAGAAGAATGTATATGCTGTGGATTTGAGGTGGAGAGTTCCGTAAATGTCTATCAGGTTTGCTTGTTTTAGGTCTGAGTTCAAGTCCTGGATATCCTTGTTAATTTTCTCTCATTGATCTGTCTAATATTGATATTGGGGTGTTAAAGTCTCCCAGTATTATTGTGTGGGAGTGTAAGTCTCTTTGTAGGTCATTGAGAACTTGCTTTAGGTATCTGGGTGCTCCTGTATTGGGTGTGTATATATTTAGGATCATTAGCTCTTCATGTTGCATTGATCATTTTACCATTATGTAATGTCCGTCTTTGTCTCTTTTGATCTTTGTTGGTTTAAAGACTATTTTATCAGAGACGAGAATTGCAACTCCTGCTTTCTTTTTGCTCTCCATTTGCTTGGTAAATCTTTCTCCATCCCTTTATTTTGAGACTGTGTATCCTTGCACGTGAGATGGGTTTCCTGGATATAGCACACCGATGGGTTTGGCTTTTTACAAATGTTCATGGTCACAATGATGGAATAGAACATCCTCAATCCCCCAAAAATCTCCTGAATGTTCATCTGTTGTTAAGCCCCTCCCCCAACCCCTTGGCAACCGCTGATCTGCTTGTCCATATAATTGTTTTAAATTTTTAATTATGTATAATTAATCATACAGTATGTAGCCTTGGCATCTGAATTTCTTCATTTAGCTCAATGGTTTTGAGCTTCATCAATGTTGATGTCTGTATCAGCAGCATGTCCCTTTTTGTTGCTAAGTAGTATTTTCTCATGTAAATATACAACCATTTGTTTATTTATTCATCAGTTGATGGATATTTGAGCTGTTTCCGGGTATTTTGTTCTTTTTTTTTTACAATTACAAATGAAGCTACTATAAATATTCAAGTACAAGTTGAAGGAGAGACAAAATCCTACCCTCATTCTTTCAGGATCCCAGCTGGGTTGGAGATCTAAATTGACATAAGATAAATTAACTGGACAAAACCATACAGATGTATTTAATACAAGTGTTATGCAGCATGGGAGCCCTCATAAAGAAATGAAGAACCAAAGAAGCAGTTAGAATCACTTACGTAAGTATGAGTTGGACAAAGAATAGTAAGTTTGAAGAAGCAACTAAATCATGTAGGGAGACTTGAAAGAGTTATTTTAACAAGGTCTGTGCAGAATTCTCTTGGTCTCAATTTCTCATCCTTGAGGATAAAGTTGTTGCATCTTTCACAAGGGAATTTCACCTTTTGCTTTTAAGAAACAGCACAAAGGTCAGAGTAATCTTTTTGCACCTGCTGTTTTCCAAGTGCCTTTAACTTAAATAGTCAATATGCTAGAGGGTTATATTTTTAACTCCTTCAAAGTCTTTGTGTGGACATAAGTTTTCATTTCTCTTGGGAAGCTGTCTATAAATAAGATTGACAGACAGTGTGGTAGGTATTATAACTTTATAAGAAACTGTATTTCAAGTTACTGCACCATTTTGCATTTTTAGCAGCCATCTATGACAGTGGAAATTGCTCCTCACCCTCAACCAACACTTGGTATCGGGTGTGCCCCAGTTTTAAAATGATACTTTCAATTTGTTTTTCCCTAAAGACAAATATTTTTGAGAGCTTTTTCATGTATTTATCTGCCATATTTGTATTTTCTTTGGTGAAATGTCGGCTCAACTTTTATAATCACAATTTTTAAAATCAGATTGTTTTTCTTATTATTTTTGAGTTATGGGAGTTCTTTCTATATTCTGAATATTAACTGTTTGTCAGATATCTGTTTTGCAAATATTTCTCCCAGTCTTTTTATTTCTCTAACACTCTCTTATGAAAGGCAAAAGTTTTTCACTTTTATAAGTTTTGGTCATTATTTTTTTCTTTTTATATTAATTTTGTGTGTTCTAAGAAATATTCACCTAACTCAAGGTCACAGATATTTTTTCCAGCATTTTTAACTGGAAGCTTTACAATTTTAGCTGTTCTTATATTGATATGTATTCATTCCAAATTCACTGTTTATATAGTATTAGATAAGGGTTGAGCTTCATTGTTTTCAATCTGGATGTCCAATTGTTCAAGTACCATTTGTTGAAAAGACTATTATTTCCCTTTTGAATTACTTTGGCAGCTTTGTTGAAATTCAATTGACCATATATGTGAGAGTCTATTTTTCTGCTTTTGATTATTTTCCACTGATCTATTATGTCTGTGTTTACACCAATAGCATGATGACTTGATTACCGTAGCTTTACAGGAAGCTTCTACTTAGGTACTGCCGTTCCTCAGAAAATGTTCTCTAAGTATTTCGTATTTCCAAAAATTTTAGAATCAGTTTGCCAATTTAAAAAATTCTCCTTTGGTTGGGATTTTATTAAATCTATAGTTGAATTTAAGAATACTAAGCAATACTTTTCCAATCTTTAACGTGTTTTCTCTCTCCATTTATTTGGGTTTTTTTAAACTTAATTCAGCAGTGTTCTATAGGTTTTAGTGCACAGATCTTGTGACTATTCTATTAAATTTGTCCCTACATATTTCATATTACTTTATGTTCTGGTAAATGGTATTGTTTATTTACATTTCAATTTTTTAACTGTCCAAATATACAGAAAATACATTTGATTTTTGTATACTGATTTGGTATCATATGGTCTGGCTAAACTCAGTTAAAGAATTTTTTAAATTCTAAAAATTATATTATTCTTAGACTTTTCTACATAGACAACCAAGTTTCTATTAATAATGACAGTTTTACTTCTTTTGTTTTAATGTGGGTGCCTTTTATGTCCTTTTTGCTGTCTGGTTGCAGAAGCGTGGATCTCTGGTATATTAAATACAAATGGTGAGCACGGGTAGTTGTCCCTTGTTTCTAGTCTCTCACTATAAATTATGAGATTTGCCCGAAGTTTCTGCTAGATTCCCTTTAGCAGGGTGAGAGGATTTTCTATTCCTAGTTGGCATAGAGTTTAATAGGTGTTGATTTAATAAACGTATTTCTGCATTTATTAAAACATATTTTCCTTTTTAGTCTGCTATTACAGTGAGTCGCATTGATTGATTTTGGAAAGCTAAACTAAATTTGCTTTACTGGGATGAACTTCTTTTGGTTATGATACATTAAGACATTTGAATGTGTGTTGTTGGATTTTATTTGCAAAAATGCATTTCTTAAAAGATTTTTGCATCTATGTCCTCCAGCGATATTGCTCTATAGTGTCCTTTTGATGCAGGATAGGCAAGCCCCAAGATTGAGGCTTAGTCCAGGATGTTTCTTGGCTTTACCCAGGAAAGAATTCAAGAACAGGCTGCTGGTTTTCATCAGCAGCTTTTATTGATGCCGTGCCGTACAGCAGCAGCAGAAGGCTGCTTCTTGCAGAGCAGGGTTTGCTCCATAGGCTGAGTGCCCAGGGCAGCAGCTCAGAGGCAAGGCTGCACTCATATTTCTATCCACTTTTAATTATATGCAAATTAAGGGGCAGTTTATGCAGAAATTTCTAGAATGAGGGTGGTTAACTTCTGGGTTGCTGGGTCATTACCATCAAAAGGAGCAGTAACTTCTGAGTGTTGCCATGGCAATGGTAAACTGACATGGCACACTGGTAGGCATGTCTTATGGGGAAGTGCTTCCACCCCAGACCTGTCCAAGTCCCTCAACCAGAGTCTAGTCCAGCCTCCCTCTTCACTATTTCTTCTTTTTTAAGAAACGGTCTCCATCTGTTGCACAGGCTGGAGTACAGTGGCATGATCTCTTCTCACCACAGCTTCAACCTCTTGATCCTCCCACCTCAGGCTCCTGAGTAGCTGGTACTACCGATGAGCATCACCATGCCTAGCTAATTTTTGTATTTTTTTGTAGAGATGGGGTCTCACTATGTTGCCTAGGCTGGTCTAGAACTCCTGGGCTCAAGCAATCCTCCTACCTTGGCCTCCCGTAGTGCTAAGACTACAGGCATGGGCCACCACACCTACCCTGTTCTTTAAGGGTGCTATCTTTGTCTGATCATCATATCATGATAGTGCAAATCTCATAAAATGGGTTGAGAAATAGTTCTTCTCATATATCCTGAAATATTTCCTTTAGAATTGGTTAGATGTCTTTAAGTATATGGTAGAATTCACCTGTAAAATATTTCTGCTGGGAGTTTGTGCCTAGCTGGGGATATTAAATACAACTTTAATTTATATAAGAGACACAAGTATTTTCAGGCTATCTTCTTGAGTTAGTTTCATACTTTGTGTCTTTCAATGATTTTGCCCATTTCACCTAAGCTGCTGATTTATTTGGCATAATGTTATTCATAATAATTTATTATGTTCTTTTCTTACTTTTAGCGGCAGAGCTGTCACCGCTTTCATTCCATTAGTGGTAATTTGTATCTTCTCTTGTTTTTATATTGATCGTCATGTCTAGAGAGTCATTAGTTTTATTAATCTTTCCCAGCAATCAGATTTTGATTGGTCTTTTTATTATCTATTAGTTTTCTATTTTCTACATTATTAAATTCTGTTCTTCTATTTTGTTATTTTCTTCTTTTGATTGCTCTGGGTTCACTTTGCTCTTTCTCATCTTTAAGTTTCTTTTATGGACGATTAGCTCATTGATTTGAGGCACTCCTTTTTCCACTATATGAATTTAATGCTAATCATTTTCCTCTAAAAAACTGCTTTGGCTGTATGTATACCTTAGATTTTAATACATTGTGATTTTACTTTCATTCAGTTTATGGTATTTTCTAGTATTCATTGCAATTTCTTCTTTGACCCACAGTTAGTTTAGTTACAGTTATGTTGTTTAATTTCTCAGTAATTGAAATTTTTCTGGATATTTTATTTTATTGGTTTCTAAATTATTTTGTTATGTTAAACAACATAATTTGTATCAAATTTGCATTTAAATCTTCTTAAATTTATTGAGACTCTTTTATTTGAATAATAGACACCCTTACCTTCTTATTAGTTATCAAAAGTTTTTTATCACAGAGATGTATTGAATTTTATCTATTGTTTTATACATCAATTTGTTGATGCTCTGGTGTATTTTAATAAACTTTGTGGTTTTTAAACAAATGATGCATTTCTGAGATCAGTCTAGCATGTCATATTTTAATTCACTATTTAATTTGGTTTTCTAATATTTTATTTATTATTTTTGCCTCTGTCTCAGTAAGAAAAATCTGTAATTTTTCTCCTCTTGATCTGCCCGTCACTAATTTTAAAATCAAGCTAAAATTAGCATCATAAAAAGGTTGAGTAGCTTTCTTCCTCTTTCTCTGTTTAGAAACAAACTGTTAAAAAAAAAAATTGTTGGGCCGGGCGCGGTGGCTCACGCCTGTAATCCCAGCACTTTGGGAGGCTGAGGCGGGTGGATCACGAGGTCAAGAGATCGAGACCATCCTGGTCAACATGGTGAAACCCTGTCTCTACTAAAAATACAAAAAATTAGCTGGGCATGGTGGTGCGTGCCTGTAATCCCAGCTACTCGGGACGCTGAGGCAGGAGAATTGCCTGAACCCAGGAGGCAGAGGTTGCAGTGAGCTGAGATCGCGCCATTGCACTCCAGCCTGGGTAACAAGAGTGAAACTCCGTCTCAAAAAAAAAAAAATGTATACATGGTGTATTTGTTCCCTGATAGTCTGGTAAAGTTTATTTATAAGACAACCAAGGTTTGGTGTCTTTCTATAATAGATATAATTGATGTAATTTGTATATCAGTGAGGTTACTTTTTAATGGTGATTGAGGTATACAGATATTTTTTTCTTTTCACCTGACTGCAATAATTCATAGTTTTAAAAATTATCTATTTCATCTATATTGTTATATTTATTGCAATTAAGTTGTTCATAAAAATATTTTCATATCTGTCACAAATATTTTTTTCTAATATTTTTATTTTTGCCCTTCTTTTATCAATTAATTTTAACAGAGGGTTTTCTGTTTCAGTAGTCTTTTAAATAGCTAGCTCTGATTTCTTTAATCCTATTTATTTGTAATATTTGCTCTTATCTTTATTACATCTTTACTTCGACTTTCTTTGGGCTTACTCTATTGTCTTTATTGATTTACTGAGTTAAGTGCCTGTTTAATTTTTAAACTTTAATATTTCTTAATGTGTGCCTTGAAACTTATGAATGCCCATCTAAATAACACTTTAATTTTACTAGATTTTTATAGGTAATGATTTTCTTATTTAGTTTTAAATATTTTGTTATGTACATTATGCCTTCTTCTGTTTTTCAGGAATTAATAAACATAGCATTCTTCTGTTTTAGTGTCTAAGCAGATGATCAGATTGGGAGAGATCATTTCATTAGTCTCCAATTTTCTTGCAATGGATTTAGAGATTGTTGCCTATGGATATACAAATCAAATAGTATCAAAGATATTGGTTGAAGCTTTCATTCAGTTTGTTATATGATCAATGTTTGCAAATAGTACATAGATATTCTTGAAAATGAACATTATCTGTGTTTTTAGAATTTTATATGTAGTACAAGATTTTCAGCAGGTTTTTTACATTTTCTGTATCTTAACTAACAGTTTCAAAAGAGGCTTACTAAAATAATCTTACTCTGATTATGAATTTTCTAATTTCTCCTTATAAATCTGTAAACTTTTGCTTTATAATTTTGTAGTTGTGTTGTTAGTTGCATTCAGGTTCATGATTATTGTATATTCAGATAAAATATTCTTTTTATTATAGGTAATGACTAATCAAATCCCTAACAATAATTTTTATTTGGAATGTTTTTATATTAATTTGAATATCTATTTTAAAATGTATTCATTTTAATTGACAATAATTATATATATTTATGGAATACAACATGATTTTTTATCTATGTAGAAAGATTCGGTTAAAGTAATTAACGTATCTAGCATCTCATCAGCTTTTCTTGGTGATAATATTAAAAATCTACTATTTTAGTAATTTTGAAAGTGTACTTATTATTAATTGTGTTTACAATGATGTACATTACTTATTCTTTTAGTCTAACTGAGACTTTGTACCTTTTGATCAACATCTTTTTTTTTTTCCTTCATCCTTACCCCAGACTCTGGAAACTACCTTTCTACACTCTATTTCTTAAAGATTGACTCTTCTCGATTCCACATATAGGTGAGATAATACATTATTTGTCTTTTTTTTTTTTTGCTAGGTTTATTTCACTAAGCATTACATCTTCCAGTTCTATCCATGTTGTCACAAATGACAAGATTTCCCTCTTTTTCAAGGTTATGTTGTTTACCATTATGTATATATACCACATTTTCTTTATCCATTCATGCATTGATGGACACTAGCCAAAACCATCTACAGATTCAAGGCAATTCCTATATAAATTTCGATGTTAGTTTTCAGAGAAATAAAAAACAATCTCAAAATTTGCATTGTAGGACCCCAAGTAGCCAAAGCAATCTTAAGAAAAAGAGCAAAGCCAGAAGCATCACACACTCTCTGATTTCAAAATATGTGATAGAGCTATTTTAATCAAAAAACTCTGATACTGGCATAAAACAAAATACATTGACCAATGAACAGGATAGAAAACCTTGAAATAAACCCAAGTATTTATGATCAATTGATTTTTGATAAAGTTTCCAAGAATACACAACGAGGAAAAGAGAATCTGTAATACATGATATTGAGAAAACTGAATATCCACAGGCAAAAGAATAAAATTGGACCCTAATCCTGCACTACCTACAGAAATAAACTCAAAATCAATAAAATACTTAAATGTAAGACCTAAAACTGTAAAACTACTTAAAAAAAAAACAGCCTTATGACATTGTTTGGAGCAATGATTTCTTGAACAGGACTTCCAAAGACCAGGAAACAAAAGCAAAAATGGACAAATGGGATTGTATCAAACTGAAAAGCTTCTGAACAGCAAAGGAAACAATTAAAGTGAAGAGACAACCCACGGGCGGAGGAAGACATTTGTAAACCATACAAATGTATAATATCGAATATCCGATAATGTCTAATAGCTAACATCTAAAATATATAAGAAGCTCAACTCAATAGCAAGAAATCAAATAACCCGATTTTTAAAATGGGCAAAAGTTCTGCATAGACATTTCTCAAAAGAAGAGACGCAAATGGCCAACAGATACATTAAAAAATGCTCACCACCGCTAATTATCAGAGAAATGCAAATTTAAATGACAATGAGACATTATCTCACACCTGTTGGAATGGCTGTTACAACAAGATGAATGATGGGCTGGGCACAGTGGCTCGTGGCTGTAATCCTAGCATATGGGAGGCTGAGGCAGGTACATCACGAGTTCAAGTGTTTGAGGCCAGTCAGTCTGGGCAACATAGCAAAAGCCTGACTCTACCAAAAAAACCACAAAAATTAACCAGGGATGGTGGCGAGCATCTGTGGTCTCAGCTACTAGGGAGGCTGCGGTGGGAGGATCACTTAAGCCCAGGAGATAGAGGTTGCAGTGAGCAGTGATTGTGCCACTGCACTCCAGCCTGGGTGATGGAGCAAGACTCTGTCTCCAAAAAAAATAAAATAAAAATAAAAAAGACAAAGGATAACAAGTGTTGGTGAGGATGTGGAGGAAAGGAAACCCTTGTATATTGGGAGGGATAATTTAAACTAGTGCAGTCATTTCAGAAATTAGTATGGCGGTTCCTCAAAAAAACTAAAAAAAGAATTGTCATATGATCCAGGAATCCCACTTTTGGATATATATCCAAGGGAATTAAAAATCAGTATGTCAAAGCAAAATCTAACTCCCATGCTCATTTCATCACTATTCACAATAGCAAAGTTAGGGAAGCAACCTAAATAGAATACTTATTTCTGTAAGTACCTATATTTTATTCTATATATAAAATACATATTTTATAACTAAGTGGAATACCTGTTCGTTATTAGCATTCATCTGATGTATCTTTTGCCATTCTTTCACTTTCAGACATTCTACATTATCTTATTTTTAGATGTGTCTCTTACACAGAGCACGTAGTCGGATTTCGTTTTGGGGAGACAGTCATTTTTTCACATGTACCATTTCCCAAGTAATAAGCTAAATATAGTTCTTGATAGACAACAACCACGAAGCCATGGACGTCCAAGATACATCAACGTCTAAACTCACACGTGTAAGTAGAGGGAGATTGGACTCCAGAACTCAGATCTCCCATATGTCATTCAGAGGACTTTTCATTTATGCTATTTTTCTGTGTATGCAGAGAAAAAAAAACCTTCGATGTGGTGAAAATATACTAAAGATAGAGAGGCTGTCCGGTAAAGTAGAAAGAGCTACCCTGGAAACCAAGAGCGTGAGCCTAGACTTTGTCAGTTACTCCGTGTGAACTCGGTCAAGTCTTCACCCTGTCTGATCCTTAAGTTTTCATCTTGCTGGACAAAACAAAGCATACGTGTCCCCTTCATGTGGTTATCCTTACATTCACCTTAAAGGTGGAGCAATTCATATTCAGTGAAGGAAATTGACTCATCCAAGTGGAAGGTCTAGAAGGTATTCCAGACAATACTTTTTTTGTATCAGGTAGTCTCTATCAAAAGTATCCTTTTTTTTTTTTAGACTTAGCCTCACTCTGTTTCCCAGGCTGGAGTGCAGTGGCACAGTCTCAGCTCACCATCACCTCTTCCTCAAATGTTCAAACAATACTCCTGCCTCAGCCTCCTGAGTATCTGGGATTACAGTTTCCTGCTACCATGTCTGGCTAAATTTTTCTGTATCTTTAGTAGAGACAGGGTTTCATCATGTTGACCAGGCTGGTCTTGAACTCTTGAAAAAGGCATCTTTTATGGCTTTAATTGTGTTCTCTTCTCTCCCACTCCTACCTCCCCAAAAAAGAAATTAGTAAGTTGAGGTCCTAATTGCAGTCTTTTTAGTGTGACCTTATTCGGAGGTATAAGTCATGGTAGATGCAATTAGTTAAGATAGAGTCATTAGGATGGGTCCTAATCCATTATGACTGGTGTCATCATAAAAAGGGGGAATTTGGACAGAGTCACACAGGGAATGCCACACAAAGATGAAGGCAGAGATCGGGGTGATCCTTCTGCAAGCCAAGGAATGGCAAAGGTTATCAGAAACCTTCAGACAATAGAGGAGAGGGCCTAGAGCACAGTCTTTCTTCTGCCAGCCTCAGAAGAAACATGTTGATCCCTTAATTCAGATTTCAGGCCTCCAGAATTATGAGAGAATGTATTTCTGTTGTTTAGGCCACTAAATGTGTGATACTTTGTTACTGCAGCCTGAAAAACGAATACAGCTTCATTCTATTACAACTAGACACCTTCTGGCAGAGTACCCATGCATGTCCTCTGTACATACATACATATGCACTATCTTACATATGTACCATGGAGAAGTGCTGCCTTGTATATGACACTTTTAAAATCTCATTGTCTCCTTGGAAGATCCTTCCTAGGTAGTAGTGAGTAAAAGGATAAGGGCCCTGGCTTGGGTCAGGAAACTTGAGTTTGGATATTAATTTAGACAAAAAATCTTTCCTGCTGGCTCTTGGTCTCCTCATTTGCACGCTGAGAGGGTTACAACTCTAATCAGGTCTTAGTTGACTGAACTTTACATTTTCAAAATATTTTGCCAACCAATCTGTTCTTAGGCTGACATAATTAATTTGATTGCCCAATGTTTATTAATCAAAGACATATAAAACAAGATATGCACAAAAATCATTTCCCCCAGATTCCTATGATGTCATCAGCAGCCAATCAAAGCTGAAAAGGACATTCTTGTGGATTAGTTCTAAAGCTTTTGCACAGCTGGGCCAGATGATCGAGGGGTCCAACAGGGTGGACTCATGGCTAGGGGCCAACATCTGCCCGGAAACACCCCCTGTGGCCTCCTGAGTGGAGCCTGGTGGTAGAGAGGCTTTGTCATCTAGCCCAAGTGTCAAGCATTCCCTGGAAAGTGATGAGTGAGAATGGGATTCTCTCTCCTCCTCGCTGCTCCAGCCTGGATGTGCATTCCCACGGAGGGCCTTGTAAAGGGGAAACTGACAGGATCAGGGCAGATCCAGGAAGACCAGCAATTGGGTTGGCCACATGTTTGCATGAAATGCAAGGCCCCACCACAGCTACTGAGGAGGAGAAGAAAGGCAGGGTGGGGCAGGATCAGGGACTGAGTTGGTGAAAACCTTCAGCATAGAGCCCACTGGCCTTTCCATCATCTTTGCACAAGCAATGGACTGATTATTGCACCTCAGCAATCGGTCACTGGTATTTTGTCCTTGAGTAAGTCACCTAACTTATCTGGACATCAGTATTTTTCTGGGTCAAATGGAGATGATAACTTCCCATCTTCCCCTCTGCCTGATTAGGGTGACTATGAGAGTCGAGTCAGATGATAGGCATGAGAAGTGCATTTAATGTTCTGTAATTCAGCAACCATGCTGTGAGCATTCCTCCTTGTTGTTCATTTATTCAATCAGTAAAGACATACTGAGGGCCTAAGATGTGCCAAGAAGCAAATCAGGTGCCAGAAACATTGAGAGGAATGAATTGGCTGTCTAATGGGGAGCAGAAACAATCGCACTGCTCTGCCGCATGTGTTTGGAGCTCTCACCAGCACAGCCTGTAGCAAGAGGGAAGCCTGAGCTCAGCCCCTCAGAGGAGAGAGGTTCCAGGGCAGCAGCTTGCAGCCTTGCTCTGAGCAGGAAGGGATGCCTTTCCAGGGTGGCCAGGTATCCTTACTCAAGTCTCAGCCCAGGAACAGAAAGCCAAGGCCATGCCTCACTTGCTGTCCCAATTAGATAGAAAAAACTGGGATCCTTCATTCACACTCTGTAAAAAACAAAAGAAACCTACTGCCCTGCAAAAGAAACCCTAAAACTAAACTTCCATCACCATTTTTGTTAATTTTCCCTGGAGCTGTTTGCCATTCAACCTTTGGGATGTTTATAGAAGGATGGAGAGAGGAAAAAATGAGCACCATTTTCTCAACTAGATGTTTATGAATTCACTGCCCCTTCCCCCTCAATTCTAGAGTCACAAGTTTCCCAGGCCCCAAAATGACCCTCACTCTCTCCTCTGTTTCCTTTGCCCTATACCTATACATAAAAAGAGACTGGGAAGTGCACAGCCCGATTCCCTCCTGGATCAAGATAGACAACTAGATGTTTTTAATCCACTGTGAACTGGGTTGTCAGCCGCTCAAAGCCGAGGTGGTGAGTCCTGCTAGTTGAACCCCTGCAGAATGAATCTCCCACAAAAGACAGGGTTGACCTTCTCTCCGTGATCTTCATGGGAGCCCTCAGAGAATTTAGAAACGTAATAGTCCCAAAGACAAAGAATATGGGAATCGCTTTCGGATACCACCCTTCAGAGTTCCTGAACCTTCATCAGCTGGCACGTAAGTCCCTGGTTTGCCATTTTCTTTCATCCTGTGGTCAATTCCCACACCAGCAATGCAGGCAGGGATCTGGCATCAGCCCATGTGACAGATGAGCAAAGTGAGGCGGGGAGTGCGCAAGAGAAAACTGGAAAGCATAGCTGCAGTCCAAGCAGACCCAGTTCTGTGCAGGCTGGCCTGGCACTGACCTGGCAGCCGAGCTTTGCCTGGGACGCTCAGGTGCTGTTCGAAATGCAGGGAACCGCTCTCCCTCCCAGGGGACAGGGTGGCTTGGCTGGGAGGCGGCCAGTCGCTCTGTTGGCTGCGGAGATAATGATGTTTAGAGCTGGTTATCAACCACCTTTGAATGGCAGGCTCTGAATTCCTAATGAACTAACATCCGCGGTCTGGTAGCTCTTGTAGGAGCCCAGTTGTAACAGATCACGGGCATTCTACATGGGTCTATCTCTCCCCAAAACCTGTGCTCGGTGCCTGATAAATAGAAGTTCACGATGACAATAATTAATGAATGGAAGAAGAGGAAAGGGCAGGCTTTGTGAACTGTCCCAAATCCCCAGAGCTCCCAAGAATGAAAGTCAGTTTTTCTGCCAAAGGCGGCCTATGTGGACAATGCACTTTGAGGAAAGGGCCAGGGTGCTCAGCTGTTCTGAATTTACCCAGGAACGCGGGGACTGTAGTCCTGGGCCACCTGGCACCCAGCTGTTCATAGCATCATGGTCCTAGAATCCTGCCCTGGAGGGGAGTGGGGAGACCAGCAGACATAACCCTTCATTGTCCACACCCTACTGGGTCCATTCAGCTCCTTAGGGACAGATGCACCATGGGGAACCCATGTCATCCTGGATGGACCTGTCTCTGGATCCCGTTCCCCTCCTGTGCTCCAACTGCAGCTGAGTCTACTGGTACCATCTCTGTGTACGGGTCGCTTTCCTTAAACATGCAGTCCCTCCTGCCTGAGCACCCTTCCTTTCTTTTCCTCCTGGAGGATCCCAAGTCATCTGTCAAGTTTAATCCAACCTCACTTGCTCAGGGAAGCCTTCCTAGACTTGCTTTCATTCAGTGGTGAGTTCATCCCCATCCTCTGTGCAGCCTGCCCAGGTTCACTACCTTCATTGCAACACGTTTTGCGCTGCATTGCAGGTTTCCACATCTGCATCCGAGCTGTACGCTAGACCACGGGCTTCTCAAAGGCATGACCAGAGCCATATCCATCTTTATCACCCCAGAGCCCAGGACAAAGCCAATCAGGAAAGAATTGATGCCCAGATAATACCTAGTGAAGAACAAATTAATAAATGGTTCCTTTCATAAAATAATATTCTTCAACTCTCTAAGGACAGGGATTCTAGTTTGGTGATAAATAAATTACTTAATTGGACTTGGTTCCTGTTAAAAGGGTAAGAACTGAATTCAGGCAGGAAGTGAAGATGTGTGCTGGAGACACTCCTGATGTCCTGAAGGCGGAGGAACGGCAAGGATGGCTCTGGGTTCAGCCAGGCTGGGATGAGCAGTGGCACACGCTTGCCGGTGGACATACCTCTCTGAGCACTCCGAAAGTCTGGCCAGTGTGGTGACCAGCTGGCTCCTGTCTGTGTCCAGGCCAAGCGCCAGGAACTCAGGCCTGAGAACGAGGCTGTTATTTAGTACTCAAACGGGAACTCAGCAACCATGGGCTGTCTTTACCATCCATAACAATCTACTGCTGTGTCTATTTCCAACAAAGCACAAAAAGACGTGTGTCTGGTGGAGAGGACCGAGTCTCGGTTGTATTAGAGTGTCATCCCTCTGATCAAATGGTCATTGTGTTTGCTTAGATCCAGAGACATGGGAGCTCAGAGTCAAACACGGGTTATCTTCTAGGTGGTGGCATTTCACAATCACGTGATGAGGGGAATTACTCGGACCATCCAAGCCTCAGTTTTCTTACCTACGGAACATGATGGCAGGTTCTAGTCTGCAGGGACAGGCGGCTCATGCAGATGAAGAGTTGTGCTGGCGTCACCTAGGAACTCAGTAAATACCCACTGCTTTCCTGCAAGGCTGGACTAGGGGAGGCTCGAGAAGAAAGGAAGCTCTTTCTCTCTGATGTCTGTCTTCTTAATTGTCCGCCCCCCCCGGGCCCCGGGCATGCTGCTGGGCCAGAGCACCTGCTGCCGTGGCTCTTGGCACAGGGTCTTTTTACTGAAGACTCCCGTGGAAGACAACAGAACACAAATTTCCGTCAGCCTACAGCTTTTTAAAAATTTTTTTGTATTATACTTTAGGTTCTGGGGTACATGTGCAGATCACGCAGGGTTGTTACACAGGTATACATATGCCATGGCAGTTTGCTGCATCCATCCCCCCGTCATCTACATTAGGTATTTCTCCTAATGTTATCCCTCTCCAATACTCCCACCCCTGCTATCCCTCCTCTAACTCCACAACCCCCCAGCCTAGAGCTTTTCTTAAAGACCAAGTGATAAAACACTTGAATTAAATAAGTTTTCCTCACAGGAAAATCTCACACACCTCTACCCACCTAAAACTCAAATGAAGCAAGTTCATCAACTTCTTGTTTCCTTATAGATATTTCTAGAATAGAGTTTAATGAGTGTCATAATATCTCACACATATTTTCAAGCAAAAGGAACGTTATATCACCAATACACCTCGAGGGTCAATAAGAACGATCACTTACGAAGATGGAAATTTCTCCATGTAAAACGGAACAGCAAATACCATCTTGCCACAGCGCATCTCTTCCCAGAACCACCCGTGCACTTTCCTGGTGCTCCCTGCCCACAAATGGGAGACACAAACTAAGATGCCTCAGGAGGAACATCACGGTGTGAACTCTGAAGTTACAGGAGACACAGAATTGCGGGGCAGCTGCGGATGCGAGAGCACTTATTCCTCTAAAAGTTGTTTAAATTTTCTCTTTTTATTTTTTATTTTATTAATAATTTTTATCTGTTGCCCAGACTGGAGTGCAGTGGTGTGATCTCCGCTCACTGTAACCTCGACTTCCTGGGCTCAATTGATCCTCCTGCCTCAACCTCCTGAGCAGCTGAGACCACAGGTCCACGCCACCATGCCTGGCCAATTTTTGTAGTTTTTATAGACATGGAGTTTTGCCATGTTGCCCAGGCTGGTCTCCAACTCCTGGGCTCAAATGATCCGCCTGCCTGCACTTCCCAAAGTGCTGGGATTACAGGAGTGAGCCACCACCCTAGCCTCCATTTTTTCTCCCGATTTAAAGGACTATGACACTCCCAAGTGTGCGTGTGCACACACACACACACACACTCTCTCTCTCTCTCTCATACACACACACACACACAGACACACACTGATGGCCTAAATTCTTGCCGTCACCCACACATATCAGGTATTCCTTTATAGCAATGTACAAAAATGGCCTAATATATGCAGCAAAGGGTGTTATAAGAAAATTGCCTTCCCTTCGGAGGGGATAGTCATCCCTGTGTGTGCTGCCTAGACCTGGGTATTCAACACACAGCGCATACGCTCCCTGAGTCTGTCATATACCATGGCAGAGGCCACTTAAACTCATGCCATATAGTGTGAGTTTAAATGTCCAGAGTTCAATGTAGACATGCTGAGAGCTTCTGAGAGTCATTTTCCTGAATGCAGGATGCATGGTTCATGGGCTTACTCAATTAAAAGAAAAAGAAACAGCTTATATGTTCAGATAATGCAGGTTCTCTCTCCTGCGGCTTCTGCGAATAAAAGTTTTGGTGAAGACAGACTCACACTCTGGAACAGAGGCCTGGCCCACTTGCCTTAGGATGCTGGCAAAGCTCATGCTTCTTGTTCTGTCAGGTCCCGTTTCAGAAATTGCCTCTGCAAGTCTAACACATTTAATTGAGAGAGTGGAGAGGGGGGCATTCAAAAAGATTACAGAGGAAGGTGAGGCATTTGTCCAATCGGTTCCACTTCCAGGGGCCCTCCGTTGTTCTTGGAGGGGAGCCAGGCCTGTAACTGGGGTATTTTGCATCTGTTTATCCTTTTAGTCAAATGCCTTTTGTCTAAGCCGTTGACTTTGGAGCAAAAATGTACTGACCTTCACAGACCGTTCTCAAACCTGGGATAAAAGAAACTCATTTTTTTTCCTCAAAGAATGAACTTAGAAAATCCACCTCCTCCCTCATCCCTTTTGCCAGAGACGCCCACTAGGGGCTGTTGCTAAAAAGAGTGGCCCAATTCAACGGAGGTGCCTAGCTCAAGCCACACGCAAGTTCAGACCGCCTTTCGGGGGGAGTGTTATCAATAGTTTATTCAATGGTGCTAACCTCATTGCATCATGGGACTTGAACTTGCCAATGTGACAGGAAGCTGGGAGTCTAAACCCCAGTGCATTCTACGTAGTGTCAGCATAGCTACTGCGTATTGGATACCCACTACATGTCAGTTGCTGCTGTGAATTTTGTACAAGCCCAGAAACAATCCTGCAAGGATTTTTATCCTTATGAGTAAACTAAGCCTCAAAGGAGCTGTGTAACTGATCCAGGATCACAGCCAGCACATGTCCAAACCAAGGCCTGAACCCAGGACACCTGTGCACCCTCTGCTTTCATCTGCCTGTCACGTGAAGCACATGCTGGGCACCTCCTCTTTGCCAGGCTCTGTGCCACCTGCCGGAGCATCCAAGATCAACCAGGCAGGCCAGATCTCTCAGAAAGTTCAGGCTTGATGTGAGTGCTCACAGAAGCAGGACTTGAGACAGTGATTGGTGACAAGTTGCTTATTTGGAAGGTGACTCCAGAAAGCACTAGTGAGGGACTTGGAATAGGAGACAGAGAGATGGGAAATTTGTGACAAAGGGTTACACCACCAAGCAAGATACTTCAGAGAACAATAGGCTCAGTCTTAGGAACTCTAGGAGGTGATATTCTGCACCCACAAATCAGGTACTAGGGAGCTAGCGTGTTTAGCCACCAATATGCCATCCATCAGTATTGATGGTTTTTCCAAGGGCATTGAATGTAAAGCATTTTTGTCTTCCCATGTACGTGGGCAGTGCTCTTCCTTCCTAGAAAGAGTCCTCAGACAGACATTAACTGCAAGCAGGCAAAGAGCTGGCATTTTTTGAGCATCTCCTGCATGTCAGGCACAGGGCATCTATTTACCTACCTCATAGGGAGACAGGCAGCATGTATTTACAATAATGGGTGCAGGTATCTGGACTCCACATTTATAAACTGTGGGATCTTGAACAGATGGCTACATCCAATGTCTGCCGCAAGAAGGGAATGGTGATAATGCCCACCCCAAAGAATAAACCATGGATTGAACAAGATTGTATGTGTGTAAAGCAGTCAGGGTAATAATATCTACAGCCTAGTGAGTTCTTAAAAGTGGTTCACACATTTATAAGCCATAAAATCCTTAGCTCGTTAAATCCTTACAATGACCTGTGGTGAAACAGAGTCCCATGGAGGCTAAACGATGTGCCTAGTATCCTCAAGACCTCAAAAAGAAGTGATCCAGGCTGGGCATGGTGGCTCATGCCTGTAATCCCAGCACTTTGGGAGGCCGAGGTTGGCAGATCACCTGAGGCCAGGAGTTTGAGACCAGCCTAATCAACCCCATCTACATTAAAAATGCAAAAATTAGCTGGGCATGGTGGGCAGTGTCTGTAATCCCAGCTACTCAGGAGGCTGAGGCAGGAGAATTGCTTGAACTTGGGAGGCGGAGGTTGCAATGAGCCAAGATTGTGCCATGGCAATGGAGTAAAACTCCTACTCAAAAAAAAAAACAAAAAAGAAATGATCCAGGTCTGTGTGACAACAGCTCCCGGAGGCCACACAGAGCTCCTTAGGGTGCATGGCACCATGAAATTCAGTGTGAGTCCCTTTCTGCCAATGCGTGCCTTCTCCCCACTCCAAGGAGTTCATGGCTCAGAGAGAGCTCCTCGCCCGGCTGTCCAGCATCTGTATTGGAAGTGGTGAACTTCGTAGGTGAGTTCCCTTCCAGATTTATAAAATATCCATTCCCCCAAGTGCTCGACATGGAAACGTCAGAGAGTCAAAGACACTCGTTAATGTTCAATATTTCTGTGATTAACGTTTTATTGGACGGTGGGCAAGAGAAATGCTATCCAGGCACAAAAGAAATAATTCAAATAGGGGACATTGTCTGTTGCATAAAACCTCCATTCAAAGATTTTGTAAAAATATTTTAAAAGTGACTTTGGAAGGAAGCTTCAACCTGAGGAGAGGGATCAAATGTAGAATTGATGGCTTCAGGGTGGAATTTTTCCCTTCAGTAACTCAGCCATCCTGATAGAGATAATGATGTCCACCTGTCAAGGCGAGGAGGCAGGCGTGCTGCAGAGAAAGATATCGAGGACCTTCACAGAGCCTGCTCAACTCCGGAAGCTTTGTTAAGGGGCTGGGAGGGAAAGAGCAATTGCCCTCCCTCTTGTCCTCCCCCCAGCCTCTTTCCCCAAGCCTGAGAGAGGACTGCAAGGCCACTGGTCCCCAGGAAGCTGATGAGGATGAGTCCTTCACGGTTCTCTAAGGCTTGTTAATCACACCAGCTAGCACTCCTCTTCCTACGTGCCCACCACTGTGCAAAGATCTCTACTTCAATTAACTCAAGCTTCCCAGTGACCCCACCATGTGGGTATCAGCATCCTTATTTTACAGATGAGGAAAGTGGAACCTGAGGAGCTCGGTCTTACTAATCCACAGTCACTCAATCATGACCTGGCACACCGAGAGAGCCTGAGCCCTAAATCACCATGCCGCCCTGCTCCACACTCTGCATCTCCTGTGACCCTCACCACAGGGCTGCGAGGAGATGAATTTTTTGGCTCATTTCAGGCTCAGGTGATCAGGACCAGAGAGAAGTAGTGACTTGTCCAAGGTCGCACAGCCAGTGCATGGCTCAGCTAGATCCTCAACCAGTGGCCTGACTGCCAACTGCGTCACCACTGGTGGACAGATGGAGGGATGGTTAGCCGATTTTTCTTCCTTAATGGTTCACTCGATTACTGAATAAGGTATTCCAGTAGTTTTTGCTATAATGAGCTTTTTATGTTTTATACGACAGTGCTAATAAGAGTAGTTTAAATAGACTTGGAAGTTGTATTAATTCCATCCTTTTTCTTTTAAAAAAATGGAGCTAAAAAATTAAGTCACCTGAAGAGAAATGGATATTATCATTATTACACACAGCAGGTATAAATAAATCTGTATGTGTGCCTAAACTTACCCATAGACATTGCCACAGATATGTTTTATATCTATAAATATGTTACATATGTAAAGTTAATACATGTTCATGCATATCTCCTTGTACTGCTTAAAATTATTAACTCTTGACAAATAATCTGATGCCTGGTGCTACCCCTTCTGACCATAGAGTTGCTCACAAAAGAAGCAACTTGGTTACAAAGCAACACCTGAAAAGTCAAAGTTTTGTCCTATGACTGGGAATTCAGAGCCCACCCTTGGAACCACTGTCCATCTTCTTTGTTTATGTGTTTATGCTGTGGTCTGTCTTTCCCAATAAGCCGACACACATACTTCTCACTAAACCTTGAGGTCCGCTAGAACTGCCTCTCCTCTCTCTCAGAAAAGCCATCAGGATCCCCAAAGTGAATGTTACACATGCCATCGGGCTTGAGTTTTCTGTTCAGAGACCCCAAATGCAGTGTGCAGAAATCTGGCCATTTTTGTTTGATGTGGTGTCAGAGAAAGAAAATGTTAAATCTATTATATAGTTTTATTTATACCTCCATTATATTCTGCAAAGTATCAAAGGTGGTGTAAGCAAGAGGTAGACCTAGGAGGCTAATGTATCTTCTTTGTTCCAGAGGGTTTCATATTTCATTTCTTTTCAAACTGAACGTGATCAGGTCATTATATGAATAACAAAATATGATGTATCATTTATTTGAAGAATGACGGATCTATGATCATTTTGGTATTGATTAAATTAATAGAATGAGCCTTACTTGCCTTACTACAAACCCTGTATGTTAAAAATATGCCTTAAAATGTAAGCCAGGGTCTAGCAAAAGGTTAGGTCTGGAGTAGGGAGAGTGAGCTCATTCGACCTCAGCTTCGCTTCCCCAACTAGGGGAGACTGCAAACAGGCTACCTGCTCAGGATCTCTGTTCTCTTTCAAACAGCAAGTTGGACTGCCATTCTTACTAAAGAATTGCCATTCCCTTTGAAATCCAAGCTGATATAATGATAGGACATTGCACCAAGTAATAAGTTCAATTATATTTTCTACTTGCAATTTCACATCTACATCTAAAAGACGCTCTGTCCCTTTTTTAAATTACAGCTCATATTTCTAAATATGTTTGGAGCAATTTGAGGCAGATTCATTGTTGGTTTTTATTCTTGTTTTCCATGTATGAGAAGAATGACTAATTTTAGTGGTTGGCCTCCTCTCTTAAAGTCTTCAGTTGAATTAATGTTTGGCTTGTCTTAAAGCCACTGGTTTCATTCATTCCCTTTGAATCCATGGATTCAGAGAAATTGCACAATGTAAGTAATATGATCATTACATCGCACCCTTTTGGTTTTTAGATGGTTTATCTGAAAACCAGAGATGGAAAGTGGATAAGCCAAGGTCACACAGCATATTCATGACAGAGCTATAACTAAATCCATGGGATCTGAGACTCAGATGATCTATTTTGTGTAAGGTTTCTCTGCAAGAGGCTGGTGTTGGATAGATCTGCCTGTCTGTTCCCATTTTTGGCCATGGTCCATATTGCCCAGGGTGACTATCTACTCTTTCATCCCCTAAAACTTTATCGATATGAGCTTCTCCTGCTAACTATTGCAAACACTGCTCCAGTGTTTCCTTAGCATTTCATTTCCACAATGTTTATGTCTAGAAAAGCTACCGAACCTCGATGTCCTCTCAGAAGAGAGTTTATACTTTGTGTCAGTGCATTTACCAGACACATGATGAACCTGGGTGCGACTCACATAAGAGGGTTAAAATAATTACAAAATGAAAAGATTGAGCAGTTGTCTATTGAGCACTGTCTTCAAATATCTGAAAAGAAGGATGTGGTATACATGAGGAATCAAATTTGTCTCCACAGAGTGAAGCTAGAATCATTCTAGTGGGAGTCCGTTTATATACTAACTGAAGATGTTTCTGTCACTGGCAGTGTATTAGTTTATTCTCACACTGCTGTGAAGAAATACCTGAGACTGGGTAATTTATAAAGAAAAGAGGTTTAATAGACTTACAGTTCTGCATGGCGTAACTCAGGAAACTTACAATCATGGCAGAATACACGTCTTCATGGGGTGGCAGGAGACAGAATGAGTGCAAGCAGAGGAAATTCCAGATGCTTACAAAACTGTCGGATCTGGTGGGACTCACTCATTTTCATGAAAGCAGCATGAGGTTGACTGTCACCATGATTTAGGTGGGGACACAGAGCCAAATCATATCTGACAAGTAGGCCAAAAAATAGACGTATCATCTTGTGAAAGAGTTTCCCAAGTGCAAGACAGGCCATTCCATCACAGCACTCACGGCAGACAGGCTCACGTCTTAGATCCAACTGAAAAACTGTGAGACTTTTTAGCTGCATAAAATGGTGACCACACTGAAGATGATGATGGTAATAACGATGGTGAGGATGACGATGGTGGTGATGATGATGGAGATGTTGGTGATGATGATAACAGCTATGACAATGGTGATAATAGTGATGATGATGATGATGATGATGAGACAGTGAGAAAAATGGTGATGAGGGATACGAGAGTGTGATAATAATGTAAACACAGGCCATTTCTGTCAAAAATGTTGAATAAGAGATCTTAACACTGGATGGGAAGCAGAGGAGCCAGGTGACTTCAAAGATTTTCCACTTGTCCTATGATTCTGTGACTCTTATTTAGTTAAATAAAAACAACAAAGCTTTAACATTAGATCAATAACAGGTCAAATTCAGTAGGTATGAAATACAAAACCTTCGTCAGATCATGTATATTCTCAAGGTCTTTTATTCTTAACCTGGAATGTGGTGATAAAATATCAATCAGGCAAAATGGTGGACAGAATTAATGTGTTTTAATTTTGTTAAGTACCTTGTCACAATTCCACGCATGTGAGAGTCACTCAGTGAATGTTAATTTATCTTCTATGAGTGGTAAAAGAAGTGGCTGATGTTAATCTAGACTACAGGCAGCCAGAAAGCCAGAATGACTGGACTGGCAGTTTTAGGGACTTTTTGAGAGCCATGTTGAGTAGCTATGTCTTGTGCCTTTAGTAAACTGAATAATATGGACTATCCCTACATTGTTCTGGCAAGATGCCAGGTAAGCTTATGTTCATCTGCCCTCTTATTAAGCCTGTACTTCACTCGGCTATTAAGCCTTTCTGGATATTTTCCAAGTTTTCCAAAGTTGAATTCCAATCAGGCTGCTCACTCATTCATTCATGCAACAAATCCTTATTCATCACTTACCATGAGTTAAGCTCTGTTCAGCATAAAGTGGACGGGACCAAACCCTGATCTAGCTCTGGGGATGTGATGGAGGAGACAGGTATGTATGTTAGAATCTGAAGCTGAGACATACACAGAATTCAAGGATGGTGTGATGCACAGCCTACTGAATTCTGCCTGCGGCCACAGGTGGGAGTGGGTGTGCTTCCAGGAAGGATGAGATATATATTCAGGAGAACTGCTGAGTGAAGGGTGTAAGTGCCACAGAATAAGAGTAACAATTGTAAGAACTGTGGATTCTTTGTACAATCAATAAATCTTTAATGAAGACTTCTTATGGGGCAGTCTCTGTGTTAAGCATCCTGGATGCAGTAGGAGCAAGAGATGCACCATTTCAGCTCTCCACTGTTTCTAAGAGAGGAAGTTGAAAAGTGAAATGTGGACAGGTATGTAGGTGGGAGAGAGGATGGGTGGTTATACATGAGCAGAAGCTGATAAAATGAAGAAGTAATATAACACATGAGGAAATGAAGGTAATGAAGAAGGGCAAGGATGCAGAGAGGCAGAAGGGGAAGTGGCATCATAGGGAATCATCAGGAAGGCCTCCCCTGCTTGCCCTGGAGAAACTGTGAGCCATGACCCACACAAAGCCCCAGGCAGTTTTTTTCTGACATATACCAAAGACCCATCAGAGGTAGTTCCTTCTGGGTACTCTGCCTGCATCTGGACACAGAGATTTAAGGGTATGGGAGTGATGTTTCTCTAATCACTGATATCTGAGATCTCCAGACATCTGATGAGGTGACATATATGTGAGGGAGGGAAGGGAACTAAAGTTCTTGCAGGTGCCTATGCAGCAGGTGGTCTGCAGGGTGCTTAACTCACACCTTCCGACATTACTGTCACTCTCCTGACCCCATGGGGGTACACTGATTGGGACTCCGTGACACAGGGAAATTCTCAGTCATCCCACTTGCATTTTGGTTTGTTCACCATTTAATGTCCAGCCTGTAGTACACAGCCTCCCACATAGAAATATGTGATGATAATCAAATGATAGATGGATGGATGGAAGAGTGTCATAATGAGAATGGAGTATTCCTGTTTTTCAGATAAGAAAAGGTCAAAGAGGTTGTGTGACTAGTATGCAAACACGGATCAAGAAATCTGCAGAGGTGGAGTCAATGGAGAAATTATTCATTCATTTGAAACTCTCTATTATGGGCTTTGTTAATAGTGTTGCCCACTCTTCTGTCAGCTGGTAACAAAAAGACAGATAAGGCTGGTCACTGTCTTTAAGACACTTATCATATGGAAAAATGGATGGGCTGGCAAATGTCAGTGTCCAGATTTCAGTAATGTTCTCAGTACATAAAACGAAATTGTGTAAGTTACAAGAAGAGTCCGGGTGCAGTGGCTCACACCTGTAATCCCAGCGCTTTGGGAGGCTGAGGCAGGCAGATCATGAGGTCAGGAGATAGAGACTATCACCCAACCTGGCCAATATGGTGAAACCCCGTCTCTACTAAAATACAAAAAATTAGCCAGGGATGGTGGCACAAGCCTGTAATCCCAGCTACTTGGGAGGCTGAGGCAGGGGAATCACTTGAACCCAGGAGGTGGAGGTTGCAGTGAGCTGAGATTGCACCACTGCACTCCAGCCTGGTGACAGAGCAAGACTCCATCTCAAAAAATAAAATAAAAATAAAAATAAAATTTTGGTGGCACATACAGAAGATGATTTTGACATTTCTGTTTGAATGAATGCTTGTTCTGTTGT